CTCCAGACTTAAAAATAAATGTACCAGTTTACACTCCCATCATGCCATCCTACTAGCCCTGCTTTCTAGGGCCAAGCAGGACATCTCCCACTATGGGTTGATTTCATAGACTAACACTCAAAGGGGTAATATTATTGATAAGTTTTGAAGGATGATGTCTCACTACAGCTTCCAGATCTTGCCCATAGGCCTGAAACATGCATGGCATTATTCTCTGGGCTAATATTAAAAGTATCTTGTTTAAAACGTGGAGCCTTGAGTGGTACGATATATGGCTTTATTTCTTTTCTTCTGAAATTTCGTGACGGTAAAATAAATTACTTAAATTACTCTTGGCCAAGAAAGATTTTATCTGTTCCTAATTGAGACATGAAAAATGGTAATTACCTTTTGAATTTACATTTCTTTCTGACTAGTAAGATTGGAGATTCAGTAGATCTTTTGCCCATCTCTTTACTGATTAAGGTGTTAATGTCTTACATATTGATATGTAAATTCTGGTTATATGTTAGACATGAATCATGTGTTCTAAACATTTCTTCCCAGTTGGCTTTCAATCTTGTCTTTTGCAATCTACAACTTTAAAGTTTTTACTATGCCACACTTTCAATCTTATCATTTCACTCAACAAATTTATTGAACATTAGCTATGTACAATGCAATTCTTCTGCATCATCAATGAAAAATATAGTAAAAGATCTCTGGCATGTGGTGCTTACATTTTAGTGAGAGGAGACAGATAATAAACATAATAAAAAGGTAAATTATATTAGAAAATAAATGCTATGGGAAAAACTGGAGAGCAAAGGGATTGGGGATGGGGTGGGGGGAATGTAGGTTGCAATTTTAAATACAGTGTTTAGGTCCCATTGAAAAGGTGACTTCTGAGCAAGGATTGGAAATTAGGGAGTTATCCTGCAGACAATCTGAGGGAAGAGCATGCCAGACAGAGTGAACAGCCAGTGCAAAGACCCTGTGGCTGGAACATGCCTGAAATGTTTGATCAAAGAGGTTGGAGTGAATGAGAGGATGAAGTAGAAAAAGATGAAGTCAGGGAGATTAATGGTGTGTGTGTGTGTGTGTGTGTGTGTGTGTGTGTGTGTGTGTGTGTGGACATGTAGGCCATTATAAAGACTTGGGTGAAATGGAGGGTTCTTTGCAGAGGACACGCTTTGACTTACGTTTCAAAGGATCACTCTGAGTGTTGTGCTGAAAATAGAACAGTGGTAGCAGTGAAGGTGGTCTGATTTTGGATGTGTTTTTAAAAATGTAGTCAACAGGCTATCAGATAAATTGGTGGTGGGGTTGAGGGAAGAGGAACCAAGGCTGACAGAGGTTTTTGTCCTGAGCAACTGAACACATGGAAGTTGCTGGCAATTGAGAAGAGGAAGACTGTAAGTGGATTGGGCTCTTTTTTTTTTTTTTTTCCCTGGGAATGATCCAAATATCAGTTTTGGACTAAGTTGGAGATGTCTGCTAGATATCCAAGTGGAGATGGCAAGTTGAGTCTGGAGTTCAGGAGAGGTGTGGGTTAGAGATACATATCTGGGAGTCATCAGCAGAGATGGTATTAAAAACTGTGGGACTAATCAGCCTAAGATGCTTGGGAGAGGAAAAGGGATCAACAAGAAAGATGGAAAAGGAGCAATGGTGACACAGGAGCGAGTCAAGGAAGGGTGGCATCTGGGAAGCCAAGAAAGAAAATGCTGCTGATAGGTCAAATAAGATGTGGCTTGTGAGCTGAACTGTGGGTTTAGCAACAGGGGGTTATTAGTAACATCTGTGATTTCTTGCACTGCTTTTACATAATTATAAAATTATTTAAATATATTTAAATTTGTATATATTGGTGAAATATATGACATTATTTTCACACTTAATTTTTCTAACATCATTCATTGATTAATAATCCATTTCTTTGCTATGAGCTTGCTAGTCTAACTTCTGATGAACAAATATCCACATTCCTCTACCCTTGTGCATTTTGGACTCATTTATATAGAACGAGTGAATGGGATTGTGGGATGAACATGCTCTTTTTAAATGTTACATCTCACCTGATTATAATGGCAAAGCCTTAAGATTGTTGTAAATTATTATGATCGATTTTAGTTTTGTTCCCTTTATGCATAAGGACAGTCACACTTTTATTAAGCAACCCAGAAATTGTTACCTTCTGATCAAATGTGTAGTTTCCTCCATGGAAGTGTGGAGAAAGAAAGGTAAGCATGGAAACGAAATCCTTACTTCTGTTACTGAGTATTTCCCTTATTTGACTTTCAGGAGAAAATGCTCAAAAACAACTTTGAAATGATTCAATTCTCACTCATCCATAAGGTCTTTAGAACATCATATTTCCAACATTCCTAAAAAGTTTATTTTTTTAAGGACAAATTTTAAAGTAAGATTTGATGTCATAATTTCAAATAATTATTTCATTTTGTTTTGTGTATTTGCAGGCAGCTCAAATAGAAAAACCAAAGCCCCCAGTTCAAATTCAACAAATGAAACATTCTATGAAGCTGATGATATAATTCAAGAAAAAACAATGGATATGACACAAATCAACACTGCTTACTGTTAAATATTCTGTGTTGTAAAAGCTCACTGGAGAGATGGAGCAACAAAAATAAAGAGTTCACTTCAAAAACAGTTTGTAATAATACTTTTCAAAAACTCACCACGCACAAAGCAAGACACAGCTGCAGTTTTGATCATTCAATTAATTTATTAAACACCCACTAAGGTTTCTGATAGATTTCCATGTGTATAAGTTTACTTTTATTTGCTAATTAAGATGTTTCTACATTACATGAAATTATGTTAATACTTCAGGAGAAATTATAGAATTTATCAATAACAAGATAAGCACACCTATGTCAGTGAAGAACAATGAGAAGTTTATGTCACATTACCAGCACTTCACAAGTTTCTCACACCTCGAGGCAGTTATTTTTATAAGAGATGGTGCTAGATAGGTAAATCTCAGGGGGTGGCCTTATGAACGAGAAGTGGTGTGTTCTTAAGTCTCTTAGAAATCAACCCATGCCTTTTTTAGGGGATTTGCTGTATTATTGCCTTTATAAAAACTAACATTCAATAACAAAATGTATCACTATGTATAATCTGCATGATAAATATTTTCTGCAAGGGATAACCATAACAAAAATCCTTCACTGATAAAGTTCCTAAGGAATTTCTAGAATGAAAGTTATAAAACAAACAAGTTAGTTCTCTGGTCCCACCTAAGGCTACTGCAGTGGTATCACTTAGACATCTAGAAATAAAACTACAGTTTCTGCAAATTAAAATTGTTTTAAAAGATTTTTATTCATAAGTGTGATTTCTATTGTAAGAACACAGACCTGGTCCTATAATGGAATTCAATAGGAAAAAAAAATTAATTTTAGGCTGGCTCTGCCGTGCCATCTACCGTGTTGTACAAAGTTTCTGTAGTTAGAAGACTAGCCTTTCAAAATGTGTCAAATACAGCTTCTCTGGTCTGCTGGGGGAAAAGAAAGGAATGCCTTATGGCTCTCAGGCATGCAAACTCAGGGTTAGAAACTTTTGACCATTAGCCTGTCAAAATTTCTACTAAGAACTGGGGATTCCAGTGCTGTCCAGTAGAGGTTTCTGTGATGATGGAAATGTTCTTTCTGTATCTGCACTGTCTGGCATGGTAGCCACTAGCCACATGTGGCTTACTCAGCACTTGAAATGTGGCTAGTGCAACTGAAGAGACACATTTTCATTTAATTAATCTAAATTTCAATAGCCACATGTGGCTACACTGACAGCATAGTTCCAGATCATTATTGCAACATCCTACTGCCAGTGTTGGATTTCACATTCAAAAAGGGCACAGTATTGCCAATGTTTAAATATTAAAATTGCTCAGAGTGTGTGTGAAGTCTGAAAGTTGAAACATTTCCATTACAAAAATGACATGTGGTCATAAAAGCAAAGAATTTTCATCTATTTTTGTGAAAGCACATAAAGTGTGGGTACTTCTTCATCTTTTATCCAGCTTTGATTAAAAAAAATCCCAGAAAATTGGCTATCTTGATACGCAGACATTAATAATTATATTACTGATTAGATGTTGCCTCACGTGAAAATCTAGGTTGAGAAAGTTAGTTAAGGCACTGGTAAGTCTACTTTTGTTGCTCAAGGGGAAGAGCAGAGGCCAGACAAGAAGCAGGAAACTTAGAGACTCAGGGCCAGCAAAATGCTCCTGGTTCCCCAGACTCTTCCCAACCTGTGGGACAGGCAAACTGGGGCTGGGCATGGCTGCATGCATCACGGGCTGTGCTCTACAAGAGGCAACCCAATTCTCTGGTGCTCTGCAAAATTTTAGAGGAGTTGGGAGGAGACAAGTGAGGTCTGAAGATCCTGGGCTTCGCAAGTGAAATTATCATTGAGCTGGCCTAACAAACCCTACTGTTCTTGGATGCCAACTGCCCAGGAAAATTGAGTCTCAGCACTTAGTATCAGTTGGAATCTGTGGAGCACTCCCTGCCAAGCCAGGAAACCTGGGGGAGAGCAACAGAGCTATCTAGTAGACCAGCTGGTGTGTGTCACTGTGACTTTGAAGCAGTTGCACTTCATAATATGGATTTAAATATTAAAATAGTCAAATCAATATTAAAAATATTAAAAGAAGCCTTACCAAATTACGACAGTCTGCATTGAAAAATATATTCTAAATGATTTATATCGACTGAAAATACTAACATAACAACACAATATATTCTGTAAGTCAAAAATAACCTAAAATAAAATTAAAAGCAAAACACATTTCAAATTATGTACATTTGCATGTAATTCTGGGGATGGGTCTGATAAAGAATATAGTAGCTTTTCAGAAGACTGTAATTTTTAGAAATCAGAACTTAGAAAAGTGGGCCTAGAATAAGAGATCAGATAATAGACTATCAAAGATTCAAATTATTTTCTATGCGGGCTTTTAATGAGACTAATTTCATCCTTTAAAAACTGTGGGATTGGATTATGAAATGGATGAAACCAAACCTCAATAAAAGTCATTTCTTCCCTTAAAACTCTCTAATGGCGTCTCTTGCTTACAGATAAAGGCCAAGCTCCCATACATGGAACATAAAACCTCCTTCTCTTGTACCTGAGAACTTAGAATGGTGGTCTCAATTCTTACCACTCCTGCCCCACACAGGGCTTATAATTCTTGACACACACGCCCCAGCTTTTTCTATGTGGGCTTTGTTCACTGTACTCATTCTGTCAACTCCCACTCTCATCCTCAATCAAAATGCACTGCAGGCATTACTTCTTCTAGGCAGCCTCTTCTAACTTCTCCGGACTATGTTAGGTACTCCTGTGTGTTTCTATAAACCCAATTACTGCACTTAATACCTAATGATGAGTTCTGCTGTTTCTCCTACCAACTAAACTGTGAATTCCTTTCAGGGAAGCAAATGTGTCTTATTTATCTCCGTATCCCTGGTATTTAACATAGTGTTTGCTATGCTAGGCACTCAGTAAATGTTTATTGAAGAAAGGACTCAATGGCATTTAACAAGACTATTATTGATAACTCTTCAATCTAGTTTAATTGAAGGTAACCTAGGCCTATGTAATTTTAGACAGAATGAGTCATAAATACAGACACACACAGTTGTTTTACTCACTGATGTTTTAGCCTCAAAGAACCAAAGATGTAAACAGATATGTATTAAGTATGAAGCACTGGGGATCCCTCTGAGAGCTTTTAGCCAACAGAAGATATGGAGAAAAGAAATACGGAACTGTATGGGGCGTAGGTCCATCAGCCTAAAAGCAATAGTCTCAAAGTATTCAGATAATCAGGTTACAGATACAAATCTAAACATAAATTCTGTCTGCATCTAGTGAAAATAACATACACTGGGTGGTAAGGATATGAACCAAATACCAATTATCTGCTTAAAGAAGTAACATGTGTTTAACAGTTACATTAATAAATTCAACTTTTACAGTTTACAGAATGCTACCTGCTTATCTGTAACAATTTATAAATGAATATAATAATTTATATTCTAAATGAAAATAATTTCTAAAATAATATTATTTGAAGTATTGATAATCATATATATTAAGAACTAGAAGGGATCTCAGAGATAATTTGGTACAACATTTTATAGATGAAAGACACCAAGGCCCAGCGAAGGTAAATTACTTTGTTGAAGGTCACACAGGTAGCCAGAATGACTAGGACTTGTGTTTTTGGCCACCGTGCGGCATGCGGGATCTTAGTTCCCCGACCAGGGATTGAACCCCTGCCCCTTCAATGGAAGCGTGGACAACTAGGACTTTTGGATTTTTACTATTAAGTTCAGTTTTCCTTATGCTACATACTGCCTGAGAGGAAATGTCACTAATTTTCTCCTACAATATATTAGTGAGATTTGCATCCAAACCCAATAATAATAACAAGATCACTTCAGAAGAAAATTACTTTAGTAAAAATAAATGAATTTTATTCAGATGAGATCTTTCATAAACTATTCTCAGACTATGGGAAATTTACTCAAGAATAATTCCAAGAGATTTTTCTGGGGAAAAATATTACTGAACGTTAAGATCTTTTAATTTGCGAACTCTTATTAGTTAATGAGGCCTGAATTTTATATAACTCTCCTGAGCCACTGATTGTCTCAGCATCCGGATAACAAATCTGCCAACTTATTATCTCTACAATTAACAGAAGTAAAACTTACAAATAACTGGATCAACTCTTGTGTCACTACAATTATCATTTTTAACCATGTTACACACTCAATAAGATGAGACCATATGTTTGCATGTAGGGTTTTCTAATAATATTTTAAAGTTTTTTTTTTACTTATTTTTTTCATACTGATAACCAAAGGATTGTATTTTCCTAAAATATAGTTTTCAAAAATACATAAACTACAGCAAAGGCAAAACAAACCCTTAAAAACCTAGTAGCTCTGTGTTTCTCTCCAATAACTGACTAAGCTATTTAAACAAAAGGATTTCTTTTTAAGGAGGCCATAGGACTAAGTTAGGTTATGGAAAAGCTACAAGTGTGAGCACTTCCATGGCTGTAATGTTAGAAAAGGGATGTGGATGTAGCTTCCCTAGAATCTGCACAATGTAAGCATATGCTAAGAGGAGTTATGAGGCTCTCCCAGTCTTACTGAGGTCATGCCAGATAGGAGTGCTGGGTGAAGGAAGAATCAGTACACCTTTCCAGCCTGTGAGGTTATGTGTACTTACCTGATTTCATCATAATGAATTCACCTGCAGCCATGTCTGTAGGCTACCAATTTGAAAATTTATAACTGCACCACAGTGAGGTACTTACAATCTTTGGTGCTGTACCATGATAATTAGTTGACTTTCGATGCTGCTACAATAAGTATTTAACTTACTGGACATAAGGGATATCCAAGTATCATTGAGAAATTAAAAAAATGTAGAAACATTTATATCTACAACTATGTGTTTGAAAATGCTAACTCATATAAAATTTCCATTGTTATATAAAGGCTTTCATGATGTAACTCCCTGACTCTTAAATTTTAAAAAATACAGAATAAAATTCTTAATCCTAAATTTTTGTCACTGCTCCTGAGGTTTATGATTGAAGTCAAAGAGAGAAACACCCCAAACTAGTCACTTATGAACTCATAAATTCAGTGGAAACCTGCTTCAAAACTACAAATTATTTCAGACAAATATATATATATGTTCACATTTATAAAAAATTTCCACATTACTCATAGAAACAAGCGTCATAAAATTTACATACCGAATACAATAAAAATCAGTTCTAATGAAGATTTAGCTGTTATCCTCCTAAATAAAAAGTTCTGTGTTTGAGGTATTTCTTTAAGACATGCCAATATGGCATATTTGTAAAACAACCCAGGAGTCTATCTTAAAAATCCTGCCCAACACAGCATCATCTCTATGAGACCTACAAGTAGGCTGAACTAGACTTGTCTTTTTAAGCAAGGAAGAAATATTTTGTTACAAAAACCAAGGAGGCAGGTACTAGAAACTCTGCATCTCAGAAAACAGTGAAATTTTGTTACAAATACTTTCATTATCATCTTCCTGCTGATGCCATTCATTTAAAAAGTTCTAGTCAAGACCGATAAAGCAGCTTCACCTCCTGTGACATCCAAAAAAAGCCAAGATTTAAAAACAACAGTGAAAAACTTCACTCTCATTATACATTATCATAGGATATAAAGCTATGAAAATTTTCAGTGTCAAGCGCAAAGCATTATCCCCTACCTCACTTTAACACTGGAAGGTGGACACTTAATTCAGCAGTACTCATTAACTGCTAAGTAGATTGCCTGTGTTGACTGTAGTAAAGCCATTTACAATCAATTTATGAAGTAATAACACTAGCCAGGCACACACACAGAGGAATACCAAAAACGATGAGTTTTGTTGCACAAATATCCATACTTGGGGCATGGCTATCAGGTAATAAGACTGATTCAATACTCTATAATCACAGTACATTAAAATACTGCCAGACAGTAATGGCCCCATATATGAAAAAATGTCTATATGGAAAAGGCTGTGATTTATTGCAAAGCATAATTATATAGCAAATTTCAAGGAAAGTCTAATAATTTTCAAAACCATATTTTTAAATTTAATGGTTCAGGCCAAAGTCTCAGTTACTTTTTGGAGATTTCAGAACTATTAGGGGCAGAGGAATGCTTTTCCTTTTTTCTCTTCTTTTTGTCCTTTTTGTGATGCTTCCCCTTTTTTGACTTACTCTTTTTCTCTTTTTTCTTTTCTTTCTTCTGATATCTTTGTTTCTTTTGTTTTGAAGTGTCCTCTTCAGTGGAACTGGATGAATAAGACCTATGAGTAATAATGCATGCTGACTGATAATTGTATTTATGGTTGATGGGTATATTTAAATGGAATTTGAACTGCCTTAAATCCTTCTTGGAATAAGGTGGGAGTATAAATATAAAGGAATTCAAACAAAATGTGCTTTATATATTTGTATTCTCTTAAAATATGGTATTCAGAGTTTTTGCCACTTAGCCAGAGAAACTAACAAAACAAATGTCTCTATTCTGCTCAGTTCTAGTTATGAGTTTTAAATTCAGTAAGGATGAAATAATTTTTCTGTGATTTTCAGTTTTTCATCCTGTGTACCCTTCAAAATCTTTCTTATAAGGCAAAGAAAATGTCATTTACCAACCCTCATTATATACACAATTCACTTGTGTATATAATAACTTGTTCGCATATTCTCTTAAAAGAGCCACAAAGGATACAATTATATAAAAAGGGCTACAGTTGTACCTCCGTATAAATGAATGAAAGTTGAAAATTAGCAAAATAAAAGCACTTTTATTTTATTTTTCAAGTTAAAGTACTTGATTCTTTTACATGCAGAGTGATACAGATGAACACTTGCATTCTGAAATAATTTTTACTAGTTACAGAAAGAATGCTTTTAAATGTATACTCTATATAAATGAATGAGAATAACTTATCATTATACTTTATTTTTCTTATATTACTCGAATACTAAATTGGGAAAATAAACTGTAGAATTCTTTCCTCTAATGAAAAATAACAAAAAGCGAAAAAACCCCATCTCTCTTAAGAGATGTATAAAAAGATGTGCAACAATATCCAGACCCCAAATATGTGTGACTGAACAGAAACTGAGTTAATTTAAAATCTAAAAGGCATCCCAGAGATAGCTGAGTGATCTAAACATTAGAAGTTAAAACCCAAACTAAGAAAACCTAAAAGACATACAGTAGAAGGCAAAGTAAACAACATGAGACTACAAGGTTGTGTCTGTAGAGTGACTCACTGTGCGAATTCCCTGACTGCCTTCCTTGATCAGGGACTCTCAGCCTCCCCCCGTTTCTGTAACATTGTGTTCCTTCCTTTTCCATGTCCATCTTCTCAGACTCTGGCCATCTCCGGAGCTTATTTTCTCATGTATTCTCTTGCACTCTCTTCAACTCTTTTTCTCAACTCTTGCCTACTTTCCTGTTTAAAGACCTGCTTGACCTCTACATTCTAACTAGCGCTGCTTCTCGGCCTGCACTTTTTTCTTTGGCTTTCTGGACCTGGGTTCTCTTTAAGGGAGAATGTTATACTTTGGCAGAGCAACCACATCAGGTGGCGTTACCTTTGCTAAGTGTACTTAGAAAAGTTCTTTTAATTTCAGGCCCTGTCTGAGGTGGGTGAGGCCCAAGGTAGAGAGGCTTGAGTAAATAATATGTTACTCTAAAACCAGTACATGAAAATTTGGAAGGAAACAGAAAATCTCACTTCTCCTGTAAGCGATCCACATGCTGTGCTAATGCAAATGATTAAACAATACACTCATCAGAGTACACAATACACTGAGCTCTACCTTCCTGTGTTAGTTCTTAAACATCATTAACTCCCAACACCTGAAAGTGAGTTAACTTTTCCAATTTATAAAGTAGCTGAGGGTGTTAGAATGTATATATTACATGCTCTATAAAAACTACAAAGTGACAACACCTGATGTGCAGAACCTACTGTCAGAGAACTAAGGTCCAAGCTAGATATTACTACCTGCTAAATGCCCTAAAAAGTGTCTATATGTACATGTTTATTCTAGTGTAAATGAAAGTGCACTCATGAACCAAGGAAGAAGTTGCCTCTTAAGTCTTTTGATCAATTTCTTTAACCAGTTTTTGTTAAAAGAGTTGATAGTAAAAATTCATAGGTGGCTGATGAGAATTCTGAAAGATCTGAAGGTATTTTTAGCATGACAAATGAGTACATAAATCCTATTAATAAATTAATTTCTTAGCCATGGCAATGATATTTTGAGAATACAAATATTTAAGCTCCAAATTCATACATATGAGGACAAAATATATATGTGAAGAATTTAGACATACGTCCAATTAAAAACTTAACTTATGTTCTAAAACTTAAAAATTCTAGAATACAAATAGAATACATAAAAGAAGTGGGTGGAAATGTCATGAAGAACCTAGGGGTAAGACAGGAATAAAGACACAGACCTACTAGAGAATGGACTTGAGGATATGGGGAGGGGGAAGGGTAAGCTGTGACAAAGCGAGAGAGAGGCATGGACATGTATACACTACCAAATGTAAGGTAGATAGCTAGTGGGAAGCAGCCACAT